TGGTGCTACGGTGATGCGGAGAGACACAGAGGAGATGAATTGTTGATTAAAGTCGTTATTTTTGTTTTCTTCGCGTACAAAAAGTATTCTGGTCGCTTCATAACGTTACGGTTGAACCGCTGATGGCAGATGGACTATTCTGACGATGCTTTTCATACTTTTCTGGACCTTGACAGTGTAATTTACTTGGCAGTCTATGGGACAGTCACAAGCCTCCCGGTTTTCATCCAAAATATCTTAAATTGTGTTCCGAAGACGAACGAAGCTTTTACGGGTTTGGAATGACATGGGGGTAAGTGATTAATGACTAAATTTTCATTTTGGGGTGGAGTATCCCTTTATTGTTTGCTAATAAACTTATTAAACATTAGATAATGTTCAAACAAATCATTATTTCATGTAAGATAAAAAAATGTCATTAAACTTCCAATTCCATATGATCAAGCACTTATTGAAAATCTACAAATGATTTTAACAGATGTTATAAAGTGATTAAAAGCTTTTGCTGCTATTGAGGTGTGATACGGGTAAGGTTGGGGACAGGTTTGGTGGTATGGGTAGGTTTAAGGGTTGGTTAAGGGGTCAACAGTGTACAGGGGTCAATTTGATCATTATAAGGGAACACGGTTTAATCTGTTTATATTATATTATTTTGATAAATTAACAAGTTTGTTTTCCCCTGTTTATTTATGATTGAAGGAATATCCTGTTTAATGATATACTGAAGAGTAATATACTAATGTGAGTGTTGAGGCAATAAAAACATTTTTTTTGCACCAAAATAACAATCTGTTTTGTCTTTAGCAAGCATTTAACTAAACTTAACCAGCCACCCTTTACACAAACCTTGTTACAATAGCTAAAAGTCCAATTCCCATAAAGATACTAAATGATTAGTAATCGTTTATAAAAAATTTACAAATGATGAATAGTTTCAACTTTAGATTGGCTATTGCAAAAACATGAACAAATGATTAATAAATGATTAGTAAAGATGTGTGAATAGGGTAAATTCAGGTCTTTCGGGACACTTTTTGCCATTGAGATGACTGCTCATAAAGGTATTAATTAATGTTTTGTTATTTATAAACATTTGCAAATTACGAATAGTTTCCACTTTAGATTGAGTACTGCAAAAGTATGAACAAATAATTAATAGATTATTTGTTAAGATGTGTAAATAGAGGTCTACACAACAAACAAAGACCAACAAATGAAGATCATATGAACTGAAAGTTTACTGACATTTGTAAGCATTTAAAGGATTTTAAATGCATGACGAGGAGGCCAAGAACCACCCGACGCGAAGTGGAGGGTGGTTGCCTCCGTGAAGTGCATTTAAAATCCTTTAATGCACAGCAAGCCGTTGATTATCCCGCTTATTCTATGGTCATTTGCCAACATTGACAACTTAAAGGTGTTTATGATGTTAGCAGCGTAATATTTAACCGGAAGGATAAAAATGACGGCTCATTAGCTCTAGCATTCTGCCCGCTTTAAATCAGATACAGAGATGAAATAGTGCAAAATATAACGCGTAAGACCACATTTATTTGAATGAATTATAGCATTTATTTGAATGAATTATTGATCGAGAGAGATGACAGTTGTGTGTGTGAATTACCTGCGTCTGTGCATCTCTCTCTACGAACAAGGAAGCTGTTTAGTTCAATTTTACCTTGATTTTATTAATAAAAGTCGCGGTGCAGCACCGACAATAAGTTTCCGTGTGTGCGCAGCGCAATCTGCGATCTCCGACCTCTCTCCCTCTCACTGTGTTTATGTGCGAGTGGTGTGTTTGTGTGTGTGTGTGTGTGTGTGTGTGTGTGTGTGCATCAGCTTAACATCGTGATGTCTGTCAGCCATCGCCGATGGATGATGGCATCGTCTATCGGCCCAACCCTAACTTGCATAAGAAAGTACTGGATAATATAAGATAACTACATGGGTAGGTTCAGGGTTAGTACCTAGTTATTACCCAGTTATTGTAATCACTATAATAGGTACATAGTACATGCGGAACAGGAATGTAAAATAAAGCGCTACCCATCTAATTTTGCAAGTAAAATAAGCAAAATGCAAAATGGACCAGCAAAACTGCCTGTTGTGGGACAAAAGCAAAAGTAAGAGTAAACATTCTCGCTTCCTGCACTGAACAATAGTGCTGCATTCAGGCACATGCTGAGCCCATTCATCAGTTTTATTCTTCATGCACTGAAAGCACATTTTTTAGAGTCATAAGAACAATAGCGTTAGAAGTTAATGTTAAAAAGCTTTCACTCACCCACTCTGTACTATAATTTCTATATTTTATCATGATATTAACTACATTTTTATATAATATTTAAGGGTGCTCCGATCATGAATTTTGGAGCCGATAACTGATCGTCGATCACAGGAAGCAGTATCTGCCGATATGATCACTGACATCTTTTTTAAGCCTTCTTTTTATCATGTAGAATTATTTATAGTGATGCTCCAATCAGGTTTTTTTACAGACATTCATTCAGGGCCTGAATTTCATTTTTGAAAATGGGGGAATTCCCCTCGTAGGTGTCTCTTGTGGGGGGATTTTTTTAATTTGAGGGGCATTTTTTTTAGACAATTTTCAGAAGTATATAATTATCTCACCTAAATGTTTGATCATGCAGTGGATTTTTGTTTTTACAGTGGAGCAGTTGCTGCACAATAGCTTACACACGGGCAAGCCTGATTTTGTGAGCTGTATGTGAGTGTGTGCGCTTTGAGTGTGCAAGTGCTGAATGGTTTAAACACTGACAAGACTTGTCAAGACTTGACAATTATATATTTTTTAAAAATGCGAATTGTAAACTTTAGTGATGATGCGACACTGCCTCGATTGTGCAAGTTACAATTCCTGTTTTAAAATGTGCAGTGTGCAGCTCGCTCATACTGCAGAGACGCGATGTGCTGATTTGAAGCCATTTGCACATTTTGAGGAGTAAAGAGAGAGAGCATGCGGCGATTCACTCACTCTGTGAAATTACATCTCACAGAAAGTTTTCAAATTACTTTGTTAGTCATTAAATAAAGAAATGTGAATTGTACAGTACCTCACCTTCAGCATTATAATTTTTTTTTTACCTGTGCCGGACATATCGGAGCACTCCTAATAATATTCAGATTATTTATGTCATGGAAACACATTAACACAATTATGATAACCAGATTAAGCCAATGTCCATAAAAGAGAGGAACTTTGGATCATGTAAACATCTTATTCAGAATCATGTTTATTTCAGAATCATGTTCACATCTGTGTAACAGTGTAAAAAATATGTATTTATTTTTTCTCTGCAGACTTGCAAGGTTGACTGCAGCTGTTATGCTTTGTAAAGATATCCCTGTCTATCTGTTCTCTACATATGTGCCTACCCCATTTGTGGTAAGAAAATGTTATTGATAGATTTTTTTTTTTTTTTAATGCATTTAAATTACAGTAGTATGTAGAAGAACTAAAATAACTTTCTCAAGTTGTTGTTATTTGTTATTTGGGAAAGATTTTTAGGAGCAATTATAATGAACAAACTGGAACTCGAATCCTGTGAATTGTATTTCCATCATTTTGTCCTCCAGCCATACGCTGTGATGAAGTATGAAGCTGCAGCTGGAGTCATGATCACTGCGTCTCATAACAGAAAAGAGGACAATGGATACCAGGTGAGCATCTGCTAATCCTATTTTACTGTGAATTTATGAAATTGTCTACAGTTTTCAGTTGTCAAGGCCATTCTCCTTCATTACAATAAGAAAATACACTTTAGTGTACAATAAAATATAAGACCCCAAATGAAAATTCTGTCATAATTAAGTTGTTCCAGACCTGTATGACCTTCTTTCTTCTGTGGGACACAAAATAACATATTTTGAAGAATGATGGTAACCAAACAGTTTGTTGCCATTGACTTTCATTGTATGGACATAAAAATCACTGAGATGTTTCTGAAAATATCTTATTTGTGTTCTGCAGAAGAAAGAAAGCCATACAGGGTTGGAACGACATGAGGGTGAGTAAATGATGACACAATTAGGTGGACTATTTTGTAGATTTATTTTCTACATAAATTCCTCATTGAAAGTTATCTAATGCCCCATTCACACAGGGCATCAGGGTTAACGCTTGACGGAGGGCGTTTCTGAAGCTTGGTGCTGACGCGACAGTCATAGTGACAACAGCCAATCACATTAGTCTTCTGGTGTTGCATGAACGCGATTGGCTAGTGTCTGCGCTAGGGTATTTGCATAAGGCGATCTGATTGGCTGACGCCTGCGTTGGCAGTTGAAAAGTTTTCAACTTCTGCCGCAAGCAATGGACCCAACGCAACGCGACGGACCCACAATTCATTTCGGCAACGCTTGATGTCACTCCATTCGAAGTAAACGAGAGGCATTGACGCCGACGCCCCGTGTGAATGGGGCGTAAGTGGATAACATACAGTTGAAATCAAAATTATTCAACCCCCCAGAGACTGTAACAAAAACACGAAATCACTCATGGTGGCTAAAACCCAGAGTTGGCAAAACTGAAACTTACCTGGCCAGCCAGCTAAATGGGCTTTATAGTGTATCACAATTTCCACTACTAATTACATATTAAGTGATACTAAGTAAGTATTAAGCAGCAAAAACTGATTTTAAGAAATGTTTCTTGAGCAGCAAATCAGCATATTAGAATTCATTCTGATGGCTCTTGTGACACTGAAGACTGGAGTAATGATGCTGAAAATTCAGATTTGTCGTCACGGGAATGACATTTTAAAAGATATTAACATAGAAAACAGTTTTTTAGTTTTTTTTTTAATTGTAAAAATATTTAACAATAACCGTTTTACTGTATTTTTGATCAAATAAATGCAGCCTTTGAACAGTAATACAGAATTTCCAGCTCTTGTTGCAAAACTTAATGTTGTGAAATATTTATTTCTGACAAAAAAATTTTTTTTTTTTCATTTGAAGTCAAAATGTAAAATTATCACGATTAAAATGATTCATTGTGTAGCCCTATCTGAACAGAACCAGCACTGAGCTGACTTGAGCTAAATAATAATGAATTGTCTTCATAGTTGAGTTTATTTTCCTGTTCATCACTTTGAAGCTGCTAATATGTTATGGAGATGAAACAGGCTGTTTCAGAATGTGAATTGTAACAAATATATGTATTTTTATTGTTGCTGCCAGGGGCTGTAGTTTAATATCATTGATATTTCAAAGGAAAAACCATAACACAAGCACGCTAAAGTATGTCTTGTATATACCTCAGAACAGTGAGTCTAAGGGCTGGAAAACAATACACGATTTTTGCCCCGATTTTCCTCTGATTTACAGTCTAGAGAAGTTGATGCTAGTTGCTGAAAGTCAGAGCCAGTCTGCAGATTTGAGTTGATAGATTTAATAGAAAATCACATAGTGCATGATGGTCACAGACTCTTTTGATTTTTTTTAGCTTCAGACTACGTATCCATCCAGTCGGAGGATATCAAACATGTTTCATATTTTCAGCAGATTTTAGAACACATTGTTTTCATGCGTGTCCTAGCAACAAGGTGTGAGTTTGTTGTGATCGGAACAACTTTAAAGTCTGATAGTCAGTCGTTTAGTATGATGGCCAGTTTTACTTCTGTGACAATTACAAGTCGGTAAGTGTATGATCCCCAGTGTTTTAAAATCTGTTCAGATGTAGTGTATTACAGCTTTAAGATGTTCAATTTATCTGATTCAGCTTTGTGGATTTTCTGTAGGTTTACTGGCACAATGGTGCACAGATCTCCTCTCCACATGATAAGGAGATCTTGCATTGCATTGAGGAGAATACTGAACCCTGGCCCGAGTCCTGGAATGAGCACCTAGTTGAAAGCAGCCTGTTACGGAGAGACCCTCTCGAGGACGTCTGCCGCTGGTACATGGAAGAGCTAAACACTATCTGCTTCCACAGGTGCAGTCTCTCACCTGTACTAAGAGCGAGTACTGGTAGTTTTTTTTTTTTTAAATGTGCACTACTAAAAATAAAGGTGCTTGGAAGAAACAATGATAAACCATTTTTGTTTTCCCAAGAAAACTCTCAGTGAAGTATTCTTAAAAGAAGCAATTTGGTGTCATAAAAAAACATTATTTGACATTGAGTGTGTTGCGTCTTTTTATATTCTAGACCAGTGATGCTCAGTTCCAGTCCTGGGGTACAATTGCTCTGCACATTTTGTATGTCTTCCTTATTTAACGCACCTGATTCAGATCATCAGCTCGTTAGGAGGGAGATCCATGAACTTAACCGAGGGTGTCAGATAAGAGAGACATAGAAAATGTGCAGAGCAGTGGTACCCCAGGACTGGAATTGAGAACCACTGTTCTAGAGAACCTTTTGTCTATTACAAAGAACCTTTGTATTACCAAAAAAAAAAAAAAAAGCTTGTATATCAGGCTTTTAAAAATAATTCCTATTAGAGGTGCCCTTGTATCATTTGTCCCCCTCAATATGATATACTTATTTTTAAATATTTCACAATATCAAAATTTTATTAGGTGATACCAATACCAGTGAAATTTCACAATTATATTTTTTCATAATTACATTTCACCATTGACTTATTTAAAAACTTAAATATTAATAAATTGCATTTAATGCTTTTATATGGAACTATTCTTAATGAACTATCCATTGCTAAACATTGAAGTAATTTTTAAAGTAAACAAATTAAGAGTACTTTTGTTTTTTTCTTGTCAATATGATAGACAAAACAAATTATAATACTTACTTGGCATTGGCATCCTATGTTATTTGGTTTACTTTTAGTACTAATGCAAATGTTTGACACGTTTTTTTGTTTTTGTTTTTTTATAAAAGAAACGATATATAATATATCTCTAAACAATAATCTTAAAGGGATAGTTCACCCAAAAATGAAAATTAGCCCCTGATTTACTCACCCTCAACCAATCCTAGGTGTATATAACTTTTTTATTTCAGACGAATACAATCTGAGTTATATTTAAAAATGTCCTGGCTCTTCCAAGCTTTATAATATGAAGTGAATGGGTGGTAATATTCAATAGCCCAATTCAAGTCCAATAAACTGCATCCATCCATCATAAAAAGTGCTCCACGCGGCTCCGAGAGGTTAATATAGGCCACCTGAAGCAAATCGATGCATCATGGTAAGAAAAAATATCCATATTTAAAGCTGCAGTCCGTAACTTTTTTTGGTTAAAAATGATCCGAAATCAATATTTGAGCAAGTACATAACCAGCCAGTGTTCGAAACTATCGCCTTACTTTAGCCCGATTCACAACGGTCATCTTATAATACACCATTGGTAGCACAATTTATTGTAATGCTTTTTTTTCCTCAGTTGGTCAGAACAAACGTGGCAGACTTGTTACTTACTTGTTCAGATGACAATATCCAGTTTAAATGCTTAATTTGAGTCATGTATTCCAAGACGTAGGCTAGAATATGTGAGTGCAAAGTACAATATCCACACCGGTGCAGTGACTGACTGCCACACACACACATACTCCTCAAAACATTAGATTCATCCGCGCTGGAGCCGTGCCGGCGCACAACCCACGCAATGAAGATAATTCCGCACACAGTTGCAATTGCAGGTTTTCAAACAGAGATGGCGACAAAGAGACAAAATTTACGGGCTGCAGCTTTAAAATTTTATAAACCGTAATCTCTAGCTTCCGCTAACTCTCATACACTCATTTACAAGAGAGTGGCGTTCCAGTAGGACGTAGGCGTAGTGTAAGCTCCGGTGAGAAGTGACAAATGCAGAAGCGCAGAGGAGAGAGCAAAACAAAACACTGGTCACAAATTAGAGGTGCAAAACGAGGATTTGTAAAGAAAATTTTTGGAGGATTTCGATATAAGCCAAGAGGAGACTGGTTTTCTTTTGTTAACAAAGGAAACTTTGCTTCCTTTGCTACTGTAAACAAACCTTGGTTCTCGCGAGACTAGCATATTCTCACTGGACCTTATACCTTGAGGGTGAGTAAATCATGGGGTAATTTTCATTTTTGGGTGAACTATCCTTTAAGTCATTTTCTGTTTGCCTAGAGAATGAAGTATTTGTTCAATTAAGTATTTGTTTTAACATATAGGGGGTTATTTGATTTTTGATCACTTTTTAAAATGCATTACTTCACAAATGTAGAAGTTTTAGCACAAATCAATACATTTTTTATTTATTTATTTATTTATTTTCTCCTCTCATCGCAGAGAGCTTAACGCAAAGTCTCCCCTGAAGTTTGTGCACTCATCTTTCCATGGTGTTGGTCACAACTATGTCCAGAGAGCTTTTCAGCAGTTTGGCTTTCCACATCCCATCCCTGTTCCTGAACAGAAAGATCCAGATCCAGATTTTTCCACTGTCAGTTGTCCTAACCCAGAGGAAGGAGAATCAGTCTTGGTAAGATTATCAGTCTCGAAAGATTTATATATAAAGATATAATTAAGATATAATATATACTATATGGACAAAAGTATGGGACACACCTCTTAATTATTAAATTCAGGTGTTTCAATTATACCCATTCCCATAGGTGTATAAAATCAAGCACCTAGGCATGCAGTCTGTGTACACAAGCAAAAACAAATGGGTTGTTCTGGGGCCCGTTTCAGTAAGGAAGTTCAACCAACTGAAACTTGAACACTGAGTTGACTTACCCTGAGATGGGAAACTGAGTTTTCGGGTTCAGAACAGCTGAATTGAGTTAGAGTCAACCTACTCAGAGTCGAGTTTAGCGCGTGCACCATGACTATGAAAAGCCATGATCAATGGAGCTCCGAAATTATGATTCACCATGGCAACAGCTAGGGGTGGGCGATGACCAAAATCTTATTTCACGGTATGATAAATTTAATTTCACGATAACAATATCTCGATATAGCTTTTTTTTTAATTTTTTTATTACAAATAAGAAAAATAAGCAAATTACAACAGCTAGGGGTGGGCGATATGACCAAAATCTTATTTCACGGTATGATAAATTTAATTTCACGATAACAATATCTCGATATAGCTTTAATTTTTTTGTTTTGTTATTACAAATAAGAAAAATAAGCAAATTACAAACACAATAGCACAAATTAATATAAAATAAACTTTTTATATAAAATTAAATACAAATTAAATAAAATTTATTCAGCTATGGTAGGCTACAGTAGGCTTATTTAACATGACCAAAATCTTATTTCACGGTATGATAAATTTAATTTCACGATAACAATATCTCGATATAGCTTTTTTTTTAATTTTTTTATTACAAATAAGAAAAATAAGCAAATTACAAACACAATAGCACAAATTAATATAAAATAAACTACAAATTAAATAAAATTTATTCAGCTATGGTAGGCTACAGTAGGCTTATTTAACATGTAGAAGGAAATTTTACAGAAATTGAATTAAGTGTATAAATAAAACTGCATAGTCTTCACTGTATCAATCAAACATGAACTGATTCTTATTTCACTGTATGAATCAAACATGAACTGATTCTTATTAAAGATCCAAAAGTGATTCAGTAAAGTGAAGTGCAGTGAGTGATTAACATTAATGACAGACAGCTGCAGGTAAATTAGACTGCTGTCCCTTTAAGACCAACTGCACGGATCCAATATACTGATACACATCCGGTTTTATTTACGTTTATTTAACACATAACCAACTGTGTTTACGTGAATACTACACACGACGGGCATTTTGACATAATGTTTAGCTGCTTTTTTCTTTTTTTCTTTTTCTTTTGCCTGTGGGATACCATGACAATTGTGCGTATTTGACCATTCAAGCACGAAAGAGATCTGTTTTTGCGATCACATGCTGTCTGAGAGAGGGGCTTTCAGTGCGCGCGCTTCGGCTGTGTGTCAGTCAGCGCGAGCAGCGGATTGAGTTATTTTTCACTGCTTATTGTGCTTAATAGCTTTATTAAACATCATGCAAGTCCCAAATTGGCGATCGCATGCTGTCTGAGAGAGGCACTTTCTCGGTGGGTTTGTCAGTCAGCGCGAGCACCGCATTGAGTACTTTTTCACTGCTTATTGCACTTAATAGCTATCAAGTGCGTCCCACTCTTTATTTTCTCATTCATGCATGTTTCCTTGTCACTCCAAGGTGAATATAACTTTTAAGTAGTACTATGTTACACAGATATATTTGCATACCGCAGAATACACAATATAGCAAAATCTCTAACGATAGACAATTTATTCCACGGTAACGATATATACCGTCATATCGCCCAGCCCTAGCAACAGCAGCCGACAAAAAGACGTCTGCATACTTCCAAGTGAATATGTAACTATAATTCTTAATCACTGTTATAATATCAAAGGTAAAAACTGGCAGAAAAGTAAGTTATTGAACTAATATTAATTTTCATGGTATCCCACAGGCAGATATATTTGCATACCGCAGAATACACAATATAGCAAAATCTCTAACGATAGACAATTTATTCCACGGTAACGATATATACCGTCATATCGCCCAGCCCTAGCAACAGCAGCCGACAAAAAGACGTCTGCATACTTCCAAGTGAATATGTAACTATAATTCTTAATCACTGTTATAATATCAAAGGTAAAAACTGGCAGAACGGTACGTTTTTGAACTAATATTAATTTTAAAGGTATCCCACAGGCAAAAAAAAAGACAAAAAAAGCAGCTAAACATTAAAAAGCAGCTAACCATTCAATCAGGTAAAGCTTTAAGCATAAAAGGTTCATGAGTGTAGGCTACATGACTTAACAAACATTTGACTTATTAAATAAATATCACTCAGTGTCTATTTCAGTGCGCTGCAGCTTTTTCAACGTAGTCTAATGCTGTTTTCACATAATTAAATGTTCTCTAATCCAAACTGTTGCATTTCTTAATTAGAGTAGTGAAATTAACATTTGACTTCTACTCAGCCAACAAAATAATGAAGAACGGATGAAGAAGATGGCCACAATACCAAGTATTGGAAGAATATTACAAATCCAACAGGAGAAAGAATAACTGATGCTTTTGTATTAAAGTAATAAATAAAGATGACCAAATAAATTTAACAGCTGTGGTGGTGGTTAAGGCATATATCTCGAACTACCCTTCCATCTGGCATCCTTCCATTCCATACATTAATCAGCTTCATTTTTGATGGGTTTGTGCTCAGAAAACTACACAAAAATTCTCATAAAGAGCGTGAGAGCGAGTCACACTTTCCTCACCGCTCTGCATACAGCGGCCTTACTAATGTGCTCTGCATCCCTGATGTTATATAGAAAACTACCATTTAAAAATGGTACTGCTCAAATATGCATGCAGATATGGCAAAAAAATCTAAATAATCATATCCCGATGTAAATGTAACTCCCTACGAATTAATGTAGTATCCTCATCTAAAGGATTCAGTGTAAGTGGACATGCCGTTTTTTTGTCACTTTCAGAGTGTCTGCATGATGAAAATATGTGCAATGAATGAATGTACCAGCACTGCAAAAAAATTTTTTTTCTTAGTATTTTTGTCTTTTTGTTTCCAGTCAAAATATCTAAAGATAAATCAAGATGAATTTTCTACATAAGAAAAATGACATAAGGTATTTAGTCTTTTAAGTGAATTTTTCTTATTTTGCTAATTATCTGCCAATGGGGTAAGAAAAATAATCTTGTTTCCATTTACATTAAGATTATTTTTCTTGTTTTAAGTCAAATGTACTTAATTTAGATTCCAAAATACTCACTAAGAAAAGCATTTTTGCAGCGTGAATGAATGAATGAATGAATGATGTATTTAAACATTGCTTATGTTTTAAAAAGGGGGAGGAGACCGACATAAACTCTGGGTTTAACGAAGAAAACCTGCTCCCGACCAGGTTAGGTTCACAGAGTAAGTTACCATGGTAACTGACTCTGAGTATAAGTTACCTCTCTTTCAGAAACGGACTTGACTTACCCTGCTTTCTCGGGTTTGACAATCCTTCCATTCTGAAACGGAAAACCCAGAGTTTCCCTCATTTCAGGGTTAACATAAGAGTTTTCACTTAACCTCCTTTCTGAAATGGGCCTCTGAAGAGCTTAGTGAATTCAAGCGTGGGACTGTGAGAGGATGACACCTTTGCAGTAAGGCAGTTTGTGAAACACCAACTCAGGCATGAATCGGAAGACCATGTAAAATCACAGAGCGGGGTCACTGAGTGCTGAGGCGCAGAGTGCTTAAAATACTCATAGTCCAAACTTTCACTGGTGTTAATATCAGTACAAAAACTGTGCGGCAGAAGATTCATTAAATGGGTTTCCATGGCCGAGAAGCTGCATTCAAGCCTCACATCACCAAGTATAATGTTAAGCATCGAATGGAGTGGTGTGAAGCATGCCATCAATAGACTCTGGAGCAGTGGAAATCTGTACTTTAGAGTGACAAATCACGCTTCTTTGTTTGGCAGTCTGATGTGCAAGTCTGAGCTTGGCGGATGCCAAGAGAATGTTACCTGCCTGAACACACTGTAAAGTTTGGCGGAGGAGGGATAATGGTATGGGCCTGTCTTCAGGGGTTGGGCTCGGCCCGTTTCAGTGATGGGAAATCTTAATGCTTCAGCATACCAAGACATTTTGGACAATGCAATGCATCCAACTTTGTGGGAACAGTTTGGGGAAGGCCCTTTTCTACTCCAGCATGACTGTGCCCCAGTGCACAAAGGTCCATGAAGACATGGTTGGATGAGTTTGTTGTGGAAAAACTTGACTGACCTGCTCAGAGGCCTTACCTCAACTGCATCAAACACCTTTAGGATGAACTGGAACGGAGATTGCGAGCCAGGCCTTCTTGTCCAACATTAGTACCTGGCCTTAAAAATGATCTACTGGATGAATGGCAAAAAATCCAACAGAAACACTCTAAAATCTTGTGTAAAGTCTTCCCAGAAGAGTGGAAGCTGTTATAGCTGCAAACAGGGGACCATATATATTTAGACCCCTTTGGTTATGGCATGACAGTGGAAAAAAGTAATACTGTACTAAGTCATTATGCAGACATGACTTGATTTTTGGCATCATTGTGCACTTGATTGCACAGACACAATTTGAAGAGAACTGAACTGAGCTTGATGATGACTGAATCAACGATGAACTGACTCTAAAGGGATAGTTCACCCAAAAATGAAAATTCTGTCATTAAAGGGGTGGTTGATCAGGGGGGCGGGGTTTATGTACACATCAGGGTTAGGTGATGTCACAAACCGAGGAGGTAGCTCGTTGTAATCCCTACCAGATGTTTTTTTGTAGTCCTTAAACAGTGATTTCTTTAAAATAAAATATCTCCCTTTGCATTGAACACTGAGCGTCGTAACTTTGTAGATGTTGTTTATGCTCTAACAGGAACATTACACACTAACTAAAGTTCAAAAAGTTAAATCATAATCAACCACCCCTTTAATTACTCACCCTCATGTCGTTCCGAACCCGTAAGACGTTCGTTCATCTTCGGAAAACATTGAAGATATTTTTGGTGAAATCCAAGAGCTTTCTAAGCCTGCATAGACAGCAAGGGGACTACCACATTCAAGGCACAGAAACATAGTAAGGGCATCGTTAAAATAGTCCACGTGACATCAGTGGTTCAACCGTAATTTTATGAAGCTACCAGAATACTTTTTGTGAACAAAGCAAACAAAAATAATGACTTTAGTCAACAATTCTTCTCTTCTACTCTCTTCTGGTTGATCAGCTTTTTTCAACAGCTTGATTGTGTTTATGGGGTGCAGTGTAACATGTATTCCTGCTTCGTTAAAAAAAAAATAAAATAAAATAAAAAATATATATATATATATATATATATTCAGAAACATAGTAAGGGCATCGTTAAAATAGTCCACGTGACATCAGTGGTTCAACCGTAATTTTATGAAGCTACCAGAATACTTTTTGTGAACAAAGCAAACAAAAATAATGACTTTAGTCAACAATTCTTCTCTTCTACTCTCTTCTGTCACCGTCCGCCGCCATTCACGAGAGTACCATGATGTATGCATGTGATGCTGCTGAAGTAGAACACGCATGCTCTTGTTTACAAGCAGAGGAATGCACACGCATGTGTCGTGGTACTATCATGAATGCCAGCAGACTGACAGGGAAGAGAAGAATTTTCTTAAATTGTGTTCCGAAGATGAATGAAGGTCTCACGGGTTTGGAACGACATGAGGGTGAGTAATTAATGACAGAATTTTCATTTTTGGGTGAACTATCCCTTTAACTGGAAAATTGACTGTTTGCTATTGTCCTCTTGGATTATTGACACTATTTTCCTGTTTAACTCTGTAAAGCTGCTTTGACACTATATGTATTGTATAAAGCACTATATAAATAAAGGTGACTTGACATGACATGACCATTGACTTGTGTTGCATTGACTTTGTATAGGAGCTGTCCCTTCGTTTGGCTGAGAGAGAAGAGGCCCATATTGTTGTGGCAACAGACCCTGATGCTGACCGCTTGGCAGTTGCAGAGCGGAATGGCAAGTAGGTTATCTTATGCTCATTAAAACCCTCAGCAGTAAAATGCAGCAGTATCAATTCTACTGAGCAGTACTTCTGAACTCTTGAATCAAGTTGTGTCCTATGTTTTTTTTATGGGCAGTTTTGGTTGGAAAGTGTTCACGGGAAATGAGTTGGCTGCATTGCTTGGCTGGTGGATGTTGTTTAACTGGAAGGAAGCACACCCTGACCCAGCAGATACTGAGATAGTATACATGCTGGCCACCACTGTTTCTTCCAAAATACTTAAAGCCTTGACGTTGTATAGGAGCTGTCCCTTCGTTTGGCTGAGAGAGAAGAGGCCCATATCGTTGTGGCAACAGACCCTGATGCTGACCGCTTGGCAGTTGCAGAGCGGAATGGCAAGTAGGTTATCTTATGCTCATTAAAACCCTCAGCAGTAAAATGCAGCAGTATCAATTCTACTGAGCAGTACTTCTGAACTCTTGAATCAAGTTGTGTCCTATGTTTTTTTTATGGGCAGTTTTGGTTGGAAAGTGTTCACGGGAAATGAGTTGGCTGCATTGCTTGGCTGGTGGATGTTGTTTAACTGGAAGGAAGCACACCCTGACCCAGCAGATACTGAGATAGTATACATGCTGGCCACCACTGTTTCTTCCAAAATACTTAAAGCCTTTGCATGCATAGAAGGCTTTCATTTTGAGGTTAGTTCAAGTCTAAATTTGAAGTTATTACTAAGATTCAAAATGCCTTGAGTGCTTTGTTATTCTTACATATAGACTATGATCTAAATGTAGATTTTTGTTTGCTAAACAAAGTACAAGGCCACTTAGTTTAAGTTCTTACTGAACTTTGGTATTTTTACTTTGCTCCCCTTCATCCTAGGAAACATTGCCTGGTTTCAAATGGATTGGAAAAAGAATCCATGAATTAACAAAAACAGGAAAGGAAGTAATTTTTTCCTTTGAAGAATCCATTGGTATGTACATTTAACTGCAGACAAACATGAAGTTCAAGCAATGCTGTTGACAGCCCTGTTTATTCTGTAAATTAGTGGGATATTTTGGATAATTCACTCAAAACTGTTGTCATCATCAACCTGTTTTACTTTCCTCTTTGGAACACAAAAGAAGAATCTTGATTGATTGATTGATTGATTGATTGTCCATATTTAAAGTCAGTGGAGCCCATTGATGTTTTGAACTTTTTGAGTTTGTATGGACAAAATTAATTGAAACATTATTTAAAAAAAATATTTTGTGTTGTACAGAAGAAATGCAAACTGCAATGCCCATTTTTCATAATCCGATTGATTGATTTTCCTGTGTCACCTTGAAATGCGTCACACAATTTGTGTTGTTTTGAAGTTTATAAGGGGTTGTATTTTCATCAACTTGAGTGTAAAAGCATATGTAGAGGAATGATAACGTTGTGTGTCATCCTTTATATTGATGCTGGGGTTTTTGTGTGGAAACATGGTTCTTGATAAGGATGGAGTCAGTACAGCAACTGTTGTGGCTGAGATGGCTGCTTATCTGCACACCAAAAACCTTTCCTTGAACCAACAGCTAATCAACATTTATGAAATGTGAGTATCTCTTCTGCTACTCTTTTTATTTATTTTTTTAGTTTTCTTTCTTAAGTACCTAATAATGATCAAACTAATAATTATCACTGTTGTACCCCAGGTATGGCTATCACGTTTCCAGAACATCCTATGTCCTCTGCAGTGACCCTTTAACTATTCATACATTATTTAGCCGCCTGCGCAATTTTGGAGGTCCGGGTGATTACCCAGAATTATGTGGTGACTACTGCATCACACACATCAGAGATGTGACCACTGGTTATGACAGCAGTCAGCCTGACAAAAAATGTATGTCAAAGCAGTTATTTGATATGTTTCTTGATTTTAAGTCAAAGACAGACAGTTTGACTGGAATACATTTTCTTTTAATATCTTCTTTAGGTCCTTCCATTGTCAAAAAAACAGCCAAATGGTCACATTTACATTTCAGAATGGCATTGTTGCCACACTAAGGACCAGCGGGACTGAGCCAAAGATCAAGTATTACACAGAATTCTGTGCAGTACCTGGAGAACGGTTTGTATCATCTATTAAAGTTTCGAAATGAAGGATGTTGTTGGTATTATCATAGTATCATAGTACCGAGACTGCTCTCATTAGAGTTACAAATGACCTGCTCTTATCATCTGATTGTGGTTGTATCTCTCTATTAGTGCTATTGGATCTTAGCGCTGCGTTTGACACTATTGACCACAACATTCTTTTGCATAGACTAGAAAACTTTGTTGGCATTAATGGAAGTGCATTAGCATGGTTCAAATCATACTTATCTGACCGCCATCAATTCATAGCAGTGAATGAAGAGGTATCATATCAATCACAAGTGCAGTATGGAGTACCTCAAGACTCAGTACTAGGGCCGTTACTCTTCACGCTTTACATGTTACCCTATTATCAGGAAACACGGTGTTAGCTTCCACTGTTATGCTGATGATACTCAGCTCTATATTTATTCGCGGCCCGGCGAAACATACCAATTTGAAAAACTAGCGGAATGCATAGTCGATATAAAAAACTGGATGATGAGTAATTTCTTACTGCTAAATTCTGAAAAAAAAGAGGTGTTAATTATAGGACCTAAAAACTCTGCATATAATAACCTAGAACACTCCCTAAGACTTGATGGCTGCTCTGTCAATTCTTCGTCATCAGTTAGGAACCTAGGTGTGCTATTTGATAGCAATCTTTCCTTAGAAAGCCACGTTTCTAGCATTTGTAAAACTGCATTTTTCCATCTCAAAAATATATCTAAATTACGACCTATTCTCTCAATGGAAGAGTTTCTTGAGCCTGACAAGAACAACCTGCTTCGCAGATAAGTGTAGCTTTATTTAAATAGTGGTAAGATCATTGTCGTCTTGGGCATCTCTTGTAAAACCAGTCCCAAAGGCCTGTCAGTGAGCCATCCTGTGAATGTTGTTTTATTACTGTGAAATAATTTTGAAGCATAATCACCTTATGGCTTTCAAACTAAAAAGTAAACACAACTGCTTATTCATTTTAGTGGTTTATAAATGACAAGAAATAGTGTCATGATCGTTTCTTTTTCTTTCACAATTCAATGTGTCTTGCTCAGAGAAAGAAAAATTAAAAGTGTTGATTTTATTTGTAGAACTTTTTTCAAGAAACCATCTTAGCTTGATCTTTGAGTGGACCAGGAGTAGGAAGATAATCATATACTCTTTAGCCATTTGGTTACTTAAACACCCACAAGAACTTATAAAACAATTCAGAAAAGAAACTCTGCTGATTGACATTTTTATTTCCTACCAGTTCTTTATTTATTTATTTGGTTCTATGAATTTTTTTTTTTTTCTCTATGAATTAGATTAATCGCCTCTGTCTTTATATTGAATTTGTGCCATTGATATCCTTACTGCTATTGTGTTGTTATACTGAGTGTGTATTACAAATATCCTCAGTGTACTATTGTTTGATTGAAGAGACTATATAATCCTATTCAGATCCAAATCAACATTCATAAAAATGCTAAATATTTTAGTGTTTGAAATATAAATTGGTTATAAATTTAGTTGACCTCACTGGTCGAGAGGGTCGGATAGAGTGTACCTGATTTTGTTGGGGGAAAAAATAAATGTATATTGTATGAGTGATCAGTTTGGAAAACCAAAGGAAGAACCATTTTCTTGAGCAAAATGTGTATAAGTAAAGAATGTTTTTATTTTACTTTCTGCATTATTCTTTCAAGTGAAATATTTATTTGCAGTGCAGCTGTAACATTCCTTGTATGTGTATATGTACACCCCTCTACAAATAAATTGTTGTATTTGTGATGTGTTGTTACTCCTCTCGAGGAATATAGGGAAGCACAACAATCTTTAAAATCTGTACAATATTCTGGCGCCACTGATTACCAGGTCAGTAGGATAATGCCCATCTGTAATGTTGGCAACCAGTCCACAAATCCCCATTTCCACATCCAAACTGGTTGAAATGGGTGGATTAAATCAGTAGTCGACAACCAGGGAACCCACTAGGGGGCCTCAGCAAACTTCCAAGGGAGCTTTAAAATTTAGATGATGTCTGTACTGAAATTAAAACAAAAATGATATGCACTGGCGTTTTTTATTTATATTATTTTGTTTCTACAATCTAGGATTCTCTATACTTATGTCAATTTTTCAAAACCATTTTACACAGTGGTAAATTTCATATCCAAAATGCACTAAAACTACCATACCAGTAGCAGATGTTGTCAACCCACAAACACATTTTGTCACTAATAAAACAATTACTTAAATATGCTAACAAGTAGCAATCTACATTGTTTAATTCTGTAACATTTTTTTTTTTACAAAACGAGAATGATAGCTCTCTACTGTTTAATTCACTGTAGTATATAACATGAACCATAGAATACCACAACAACGAAAACTCCTAAATTGTCCCCTTTTGTATAGTAAGCTTTCAGCTACATTTAATTGTTTTGATGGCATTTATTTATTTATTTTAGATTTGGAATGTACTAGAATATAATATTACAGTAGAATTGTATCAAATTGCTGTCTTATGTTTTTTTTTTTACTTAAGTTTAACCGTTAAAAAACAAACAAGTAATGTATGTAAATGTGCAAATTTACATGTACACAGCAAAATCCCCAGTTAAATCAACTCTGCTCAGAATCTCTGAAGAGCAGAGAAACATTAAGAACTACAACTGACTTCCAGCCACAGCCTTAGATGTAATCAACTGAAATAAAAGAAGACATTTGATAGCTCTCTACTGTTTAATTCACTGTAGTATGTAACATGAACCATAGAATACCACAACAACGAAAACTCCTAAATTGTCCCCTTTTGTATAGTAAGCTTTCAGCTACATTTAATTGTTTTGATGGCATTTATTTATTTATTTTAGATTTGGAATGTACTAGAATATAATATTACAGTAGAATTGTATCAAATTGCTGTCTTATGTTTTTTTTTTTACTTAAGTTTAACCGTTAAAAAACAAACAAGTAATGTATGTAAATGTGCAAATTTACATGTACACAGCAAAATCCCCAGTTAAATCAACTCTGCTCAGAATCTCTGAAGAGCAGAGAAACATTAAGAACTACAACTGACTTCCAGCCACAGCCTTAGATGTAATCAACTGAAATAAAAGAAGACATTAAATCTCTCATGATCTAAGCAGGGGTTGATTAGACAACTCCAAAAACAGCATTACCAGTTTCATGCATTACTA